AATAGGAAAAAAGGCAATAGACATTCAGGTATCACCTAGTGTCGTAAAAAATATAAAACTACACTTATCTTGGAAGTATTAATCAGGAAGTGTCATGTGAAAATGACATTCATCACCTTCTATACCTGGGTAGAGCCACTATACAACTACTAAATCCATTGTTTTAGTCATCAAAAATTGGTTGTAAAAGAAAACCAAACTTGTACAATGCCATTGTTGAATCTATTACAGCGTACAGAGCGTAATGTTGGACTAAAACGGGGAAAAACAGGAAAAATATTAAAGCTGTGGAAATGGATTTCTTGAGAAGAGTTTCCAGGGTATCCAGACTTGAACATATTACCAAAAAAGAAATAAGAGAAAGAACTAAAATAAAATAATTAGAGGCGTTGTTTCTGCCATCAATAATGTTTATCGAAAACTGATTTTTCAATGAACATTGTTAACAAAGGCAACATCTCTAATTATTTTATTAGGAATGCAAACTACAAATCATCTCAAAACCAAGAGAAAAACTGCCAAATAAAATCCGCTATTTTCCACCATATTCAGGCAAACAACGTGGTATGACCATTTCAGTAGAATGGGAGAGGAAAGGACACCGATATATATTTTTCTTTACTGAAACTACACTTTATCAAGACAATACCTTAACAGAAGGCATTACATTTTACAACAATCTGGGCAATGATATTAAAGACATAAACACAATTCATTCATTTAAAAGTAAATTGAAAACATTCCTAATTAATATGCACTACAGTGTGAAGGAATATTAAAATCAAAACAATACTTCTCTTAAAAATGTAAATAAATAACAATTCTTATCCCGTTTGACTTTCTGTTCCATGTTGACTGTTTCGAGCTGAAGTAAAGAAAACATAATTGGCATATCGCGTCCAGCGATGTAAAGGAAGAATGCTTGACCAAAATTTCGGTTTACTTCACCTTGGATTTGCTAGATGCATTATTCGTAGGTGCTGCATTAGAACTAGTGTACAAATAGAAAAAAAACTTGATCAAAATCTGCCTCCTCATCATTTCAAGATTTAAACGTAGAATGCAGTAATATTGTTAAATTTTATGTAGTTGCTACCATAATATGATATATATTTTAATATTATTAGTAGTAGTAAGCGTAAGTAATATTATAAGTAGTAGCAGTAAAGTGACAAAAACAAGTAAATTTTACTATTACTTTAAACATGAAACTATACAAATCTTGAAACGTTTAATTATTTGCAACTAAAAATAATTATATACTGTATAATATCTTAATCTAACATAACCATAATTACACACACACACACAAACATTATATGTGTGTGTGTGTGTGTGTGTGTGTGTGTGTGTTTCTCGTCGAAAATGAGATAAATATCACAATACGTATTCATGGTGCAGCAGCTCGACATTGCTGCATTGCAGAGCTAAACACACTCATGAATAATTTGTATGAAACACCTCCAACGCAAACATTTTATCAAAGTTTCCCATCCGTATGGGAAGTGCTGCGAAAATCTGAAACAAATCATAGATAAAGTACACTCGAATACGATAATAAAAAAGTTTTAGGCAATTTTTAAGTCGTGATCACTTGGAAACAAGAGAAATATACACGTAATGATATAGTCGACTAACTTCGATCGAATTCATTCGCTGTCTGGAGGCGAATTCTAGCGGCCGGCTGGACTGTGCGGTAGTTTTCGATGGTCTCTCCATTCAATACAAGGTGAATGCCTAACAAATGGGCAATCGTGATATGTTCTTTCTCTTCCTTGCCCTTTCCTCTCCCCTCAGAACTTGCAAGCACTTCACTACCATGCATTGTGTGTGTAAGGCTAGTTTCGGCCGGGGAGATACCTAGAAGTAGAAAACACCGCAGGCTGACTTGCAGGTCGGCGCCAGAACTCACCATCCAGCAGGGAAGGAAAACCGCCTCCCATGAAAAAACATTCACTACACTAACGGGACTAATGACCATAGCAGTTGACGGGCCCGGAAATAATCAATCAATAGAAACTCTTCGAGCTTTTACGAACGTTAAAGGATATGATGTATTATAGAAAGATTGCGTAGTTAACTGCACTGAACGACTAGCTCTTAACGGACGGGTATTCAAGTCTGGTTAAGAGACCAATTTTGAAATTGATACAGCGCCAGCAAATGTAATAATGTGTGTATCTTTAATTTAATTTAAATTTTGCTGTAATAATTTACGTTAAATTGAATTTTAAGCTTTTAATTCTCAAACATTAATTTATTATTTTTATTTTCGGAAAGTAGTCAATGACCAGCTAATCAGAAGGTACTTCCCACTAGACAATTTTTGTCTTCAGTTGGCGCTGAAAGCGGTAAGCAATATTTCTAAACACGAAGTACTCGCAACCAAACATGGGCTTCTGGCAGAAAAGGAAATCATCCCTTAGTACGAATTCAAGGCTAAACCAATCGTAGAAAGCAGTCAGTTCAAAATGTATAACGACTTTCCAACATATACTGATAAACAATCCAGGCAAATAAGCCAAACATTTTTCTATTCTATAACTTACAGGAAAGGAAGGCATTCATCATTGACGTTACGTACATTTACATCACATCAATACAGCAAAAATATTACATTTTCAAAACATGGCTCCTCAATAGCTTATAAAGAAATATATAAACTTGAATATGTTCTGATTATATCGGTTGTAAAGCATCTGGTCTTGATAACAAAAAATTTAAGTATTATTTGAAAAAAAATAGGTATTCCTCCACCCAAAGTTATTCCAAAAGCTCAAAGGAAATTCTTGAAACCTTCCAGATTGTTCACACGGTTCTTAAGCTAGGAATGTAGTATGTTTGAAAAATCCTCAAATCTTGCAACCCCAGATGAGACAAAAGAAACAGAAAAAATATTAATAATGATTATTAACAATAATAATAAAAGTAATAATAACAACAATGTCAATGTCATAGAAGGATACGAAAAAATGGTCAGTTGCCCCCCAGCAGACAGACCCATTGAAGACAACTTGCTTTCACCAAACGATGGAACGTGAGGGGTCTAACCGTGAAGGAGACGAATGAACTCACGCAGGTTATTATTAAGGATAGTACGATTAAGAAGAAGGTTAATACTACAAATCTATCAATATCACACATACAATCAGAATAATTAATCCTAACATTTTACTTTCAACATTATCCTCGTATGGTATCCGTGGTATTTGTTCTAGATTGGTTGTGTTCGTACCTTAAACAACGATCTTAGAGAGTAGAAATGCCTTACTGGAATGGTGAAACATTATGTACACACCTTTCCGATTCATTGAAAATTTCACATGTAGTCGATTTTAGGCCCTATTCTCACCCTACTACACAAAAAAGATATGCTCTCGACTATTCGATACGGAAGAACAGTTCTCTTTGCGGAGGATACGAATACTCTTTACAATAAAAATCCGTAAATAGTACAATATCAGATGTTTGAAACGATTCTGTGCTCAATTAAAAATGGACGATGTGCCCTTGACTAATGTTAAAGTAACAAAATTTGTTGGTCTCTAAATTCAATCAAACCTCAAATGGGAAGTCCTAAATGAATTGAACACAAAATTAAGTTAATTTTACTATGCGTTTAGAATTTTTTTTTCAAATTTAGTCAGCCTTCTTACTGCTTGTTATGTATATTTCGTGAATGTGCAATCCATATGGCATAATATTCTGGGGAAATACATATCATATCTACCAGACTAGCATATTACAAAAAAGGATTGTAAGAACAATAAGCGAATCCCTCCCCGTGATTTCTGCAAGCCTCTCTTTATTAATCTAAGAATTTTACCATTACCTTGTCTCTTGATTTACGAATCAGTGTTTTTTGTCAAAAATCGATGGCGGATATATATTTTCAGCCAACTCAATATCTATAACTATACCACTCGTCGTAGTAATCGAATTCATCAGGTGACAGTATCAACAGCTCTACAAAACATTCACTTTCAAAGCATGTACATTATTCTATACCACTTTGAAAGATGACATTAAACGATTAAAATCGATACAAAAGTTAAAATTCCAAGTAAAATCTTTCCTGCTGCATAACTGATTCTATACAATTAGAGTCAAGCAACAAGAAGGAAAGTAATATTAATTTTATCAATCTGTAACAATTATTGTACAGCTTCTGGGTCGATGACCCTCTCTCAATCAGATTTTTGTTCGTTTCCCCAACCCCTAGAGCAAATGCTGCGATAGCTTCTGGACATAAATGTAACCTAAATCTGTACACGTCTTCTAGAGTTCAATGTGAAATTAGTTAGGTACTGAAATTATCGTTGGATGAAGGACATAATAAAGAATTAGAATTCAAATCTATAGCTGATTTACCTTTGATTACATTGGAGCGAATATTTTGTAAACAAATTTTACCAAAACTCTCATTTCTTTCGGTATTTAGAATTCAATTTGTAAATAGTTTAGGGTAGGAATCCCAGAATCATTAAACATGCACAGAATACACTTTTCCCCGTAGCACATCACAGTTTTTAACTGTTTTGGGCGTAAAATAACTTAAAAAATAAAGTTTAACAAAATAGTTTTCCCTGCAAGGAGATCCGCCCTTGAAACATCTCTGCGCAATATGTTCTGATACTAACACTCAACGTTCCATGCTTTCAATCGAATGCAATGCGATTATTCAATTGCTTGTTTTTGTAATTTTTTTAAATAATTTTCATAAATTTTGAGTCTTATTCGTTGAATATTTTTTGTATTATTTTTTGGGTTTTCACCTGAAAGATTTTCAGTATTTTATTGGTTTCGTTACGACTAAAAACCTAACCGCTGAAATAGTTTCCAGACTGTATTCTTACCGTTGTTCTTCCCATTGCCAGATAATAAAATGAAAACATATTGTCATAAAATTATGATTGACGAAAGGGGCAAATTAATTAAACTTGAAGGCAAAAATGTGTGAAATTCTCCTGATAATTAAGAATGCTTACGATATACCATCAAATACATTCAAATCGTTTTCATCTAAACAGGAATGGAAATAGAAGGCCGAATAGAAGATAACAGGCCGAAGGTCACCTGCTGCATAGCTACTGAGCCTAGGCCAGCTGTAAACAAAATCCTTTTGCAGAAGATGGCCGTGAGCAGAAAATACAAATAGGTACAACTAACATGCATTGTAACAGGTTAACTTGATTATATCCAAACAAATCGTTAATAAGTCATATTTAGAAGAATGATTCACCCGCGGATTGAGGTGGGGACTTTTTATTACGAAAGTCGATGTACGAAAGTCGTTACATGAAGTATCGATCAGCACATAACCTTCATGATTTGCTCTTGTGCCAGCTCTCCAACAGGACCCATCAGTTCAATCAGAACCACCATGGCGGACGTCCACCCGGTGACACATGTTATCTTCGATCTGGATGGACTTTTACTCGGTAATACGTCGTGCATTCAATGTACCCTTTGCAAACTTGATGTCAGATAGCCGTGCAAGCACCGTTAACTTGAATGGAATCGGTGAGAGTGCAATAACGTATACAGACATTTTCAACCACACAATACGGTATATGATATTAAGTAATTGCTGAGAATATGGCATGTTACATAATTTGATTCTTAGTGTCATGATTCTTATACAGTAGATTTGAATGCTTGTGGTTTGAGGTTTATGTTGTCTTAATGTTTGTTGACTGTCAAATTTTGTACAATATTTTACATCAATTTTTTTTAAGTCTATGGCCAGGCTTATTGCCAATTCTTCATATCGTTTCCAACTTACAGATACCGAAAGAATGTACTTTGAAGTGAGGGAGAAATTGTGTAAAAAATACAAAAAGGAGTACACACTGGAATTCCATGCAGATACATCAGGGGTACGAGGGCTTGAAGCTTGTGAATTAATTGTTTCTAAACTACAGCTGCCACTAACTGCTGAAGAGTTCTATAACCAGTCAAAGGAGCTATATCAGAAGGAATTTCCTTCTGCCATTCTGAAACCAGGTACAAGTGCATGCTTTTATTTATGCTCTTTTTCCTGTCACAGATTCAGAGCCGGTTTACTATAAGGCTCAGTCAAAAATCCTAGAACGTTTTGGAAAAAAATACACCGATGATATGCGTCATAAGATAATGGGAACCAGAGAGATGGATACTGGCAGAATTTTTATAGAAGAGGCTAAACTACCTATTACTCCACAAGAATTCATGGCCATGCAAACTGAGGAAATTAGAGTTGAAATGCCCAAAGTTCCTTTGATGCCAGGTATTGTCAGTTGTTTCTCAACTTTTGCGCTGTATATCCTGGTTCACAACTCTGTCCGTAAACTTATTTTCTTGAGAAAGAGATTATTTTGGCTACTCCAAGTGACAAATTCAAAGAGGAGAATAATAATCCAATAAGAAAGTGGCTGATTCTTTATTTATGATAAAAATTATAGCATATGTTCCTTTTGAATATGGTTCTTGCTGCATTTCTGACTGTCTCTTTAGGTTTGCTTTTTGAACATTCACAATTCCGAATTTTAATTTTTGTGTAACCAGTGCTTTGAGAGAAGAGAAATTCAATATAGATGCCTGTTAATTTGAAATAAAAAAATAAAATATATTTTGATTGCAGATTTATTTATTGATTTATTTTTTGCTAAAGATGTGTAATTTATTATTTTATATGCTTTATTTTATTAAACTCAAGTGTTTCTTCTTTTCCACTTATGAACTTAAACAGTAAAATTACTATCAAAATGATCTTGAATCAAGGAATGAAGTTAATTTTTGTCAACTTTAAATACTACATGCATTTAGAAATAAGAAAGTATATTTTTTGAATTTTAATTCTATTTCCATAATGTGTTGTTTCTGTAATGTGTTAAAAGTAATGAATGGTACGTTATCATTTGCAGGAGCAGAAAGGCTTATTAGGCATTTACACAGTCATAAAATACCTATGGCTGTAGCTACAAGCAGTAGTCGCGGACATATTGAATTGAAATTTACAAATCATCAAGATCTCTTTTCTTTGATGGACCATGTTGTGTCCGGTACCAGTGATGAAGAAGTCAAGAACGGCAAGCCAGCCCCTGATATCTTTCTAGTGTGTGCCTCTAAATTTCAAGACAGTCCACTGCCAGAAAAAGTGAGTTTAAAGTGTCATCATTTTGTTGCTTTGTAAATAAGTTTAATATTACATATAGGCCTAGTATAATGTTACGTATAGGTCAGTTTAATATCAAATACTAAAACAATATGGTGTTCACAAAAATCTTTAGCTGTCATTCATTAGTCAAAAAGTTGCATAGGAATGGAATATTATGAAGATGCTTATGAACTGATGGATAGATGTAGGAATTCCCCGTGAACCCGTATTTCGTATCTAACAAAGAGGACCAATAAGTACAAGCTTGGTAGGAGTACCACTTTACTGCTCTAATAGCTGCCCCCACCATAGTCTCTGTGCCGGTCTTCTTTTCTAAGTTTATTGTCAAGGTGTATTATTGAATCCCTGAAGAGCTGCAACATAACATGAACATTTTTAATCTACCCTGTGCTTAAAATGAACTTCAATAAATCAATAAAATATTGCTGTAGCTTTATCCAGGGAGGTTCACACTTCTTTGGATGTATATGTGTTCCAATTTTACTGGTCAATTTTTTTGTTATTGCCTCCCAGTACATTTCTTTGAATTGCATATAGTATAAAGTTTTCCTTTTTCATAGGTTTTGGTATTTGAAGATGCCCCTAATGGAGTACTTGCTGCTCGGGCTGCAGGTATGCAGGTGGTAATGGTACCAGAAGATCATATACCTGAGGAAAAGCGTTCTCAGGCCACCCTTGTCCTTCCATCCCTTGAAGTATTTCAGCCTGAATTGTTTGGGTTACCACCCTTCTAATAAATACATAAATGTTATTAATAATGTATGTTGTGCTGTATTTTTGTATATATGTACAGCAGTTTAGAAAAATATAGTTTATCTTTTGTTGCAAAAATTGATTATAGTATAATGATTTATTTTATACAAAATACCCGGTGATGACATACATATGGAAGAGAGATTTTTTGTGAAAAGAATGGAATATAATGACATGGTATTTGAATTAAGGGTTTTAAAAGAGGGCATCAGTCAACAAACATCTTTGATTCATTTGACCTTGTAGGAAAATATTTATAGGAACCTGGACATCATCAACTGCATTTTCCGTTAGTATTTTGAAATATAACATGAATACTTTGGGAGATATTGTAATAAAATTTCAAACAAATAATTAGTGTTCTTAATCCTCTCTGATAGTACTTTTAACCCATTAATGCTCAGCAGTCTAGTTGACATTTTTCTTGTTTTTGTGTGTTATTTTACTCAGGACCATTTTAATGGTATTCTCTGGAAACTTCTTTTAATGAAATAATTATATGCGTCGTCATTACCAACAATATTAGTTGTTAATATTGTTGGCAACGGAGACGCATATAATTATTTCATTAGAAATGCCAACGATAACTTACCACAATACCTAAAACTTCTTTTAAAACAATATACTTTAGATACCTATATTTGGAATTCCTACCAGAAATTTTTTAAACTTATTGTCATGTGTACTAGTGAATTTTGTAAAATTGTAGTACAAGAATGAATTGCATATTTTGATTATAATTGACCTATTATTATCTTCTCTAAGTATTCAACTAACATTCCATGCAACAAAGTAAATTTCTGCAAGCCCTATCTGAAGATTCAACATTGCAAAATCTGTTGATCTATATACACACTGCAGGGCACACAGCACTTAAAGGGCAGTAATTTGAAGGTTTCCAATAAGCTGTAGGTGATAGCCCAGGACACACTCAATCATTTCAGTTTGTTTTTGTGAGCTAGTCTGTACACTCCACATTCTATGCAATCTTTTTTTAATTATTAGATGTTTGATTGGTAAGTTAAATTTTTTATTTCTTGAGAAAAATTACATGTAACAGAAGTAGTTTCATATATGTTGTTATGATATTTCACAGAATTATGACAAATGTAATAAGGGCTTGACAGTAGTTGAAATAGTTGATATTCTAGATGAAGATTCTTGATGAACTAGACAAGGAATGTGACATGATATCCCAGAAATGAATGTGACAGATACCACAGATGCATTGACCAACACTGATGAAGCACTAGTTGATCTGACTGGTTGCACTGTTACAAATGATGTTCCTGGAACTATAGAAATCATTATTCTTCTCACAGAAAAGAAGTCATATCTACATGCTGTGTCAGTTAACATATAAATTTATTGAAGTTCTTGACTTAATATCATTTCATATTTTATGTATTGTAAGTGTGTTAGCACAGAGCCAAACTCGGAAACAGAATGCCCAAAAGATAAAATTATGTAGTAACGAGGTGTCGTACAAGAAGGCAAACCTTACATATTCAATATGGTGTGGCACACAATACTCCTAACCCAATATTACTTGAGACACAATAATTAAATAAAATATTTTTTATGCTGTTATTACAGAATGTCTATTAGGAATGCTGAAAATGACGGAAGAAAAAATGTATGTCTTGGAACTCGGGTGGTCTTGAAAATGTGGGAGTGCACATCTGATCATTCAAAATATGCTATATATTTGAACAACCTTTTTATCAGCAGAAATCTTAGTACATTTGAGAGAAATTAAAATGGGAACTACAAGCGCAATAAGAGAAAACAGGCTCTCAAGTTGCCCACTTTTGACAGGAAAAGAAATTCAGAAATAGCCAAGAGGTTTATAGAACTACACTTTAGATGAAATTGGTGAAGTTTCTTTTTGTCGGCATGAAATAAGCCTGTTTCTGAACCAACAAATTTTGATACTTTAGAATCAATGGCTACCACAAGTTAGTGGAATAAAACCTTGGGAACAAGAATAGGCCAACCACAGGTTTCCAAAAAAAATTACAATGCTCTCATGGGAGATCTGGCATGTGGGAAAATATATTTCAATTAGAGGGAAAAGGTGGTACTGGCCACTTTTTGTTTCACAACATATACCCTATGCTGGGAAAGGGCACTATTAGTGCACGTTGCAAAGGCACTGTCAGTACCAAGGATGTAAAGGAAGGCCTCTAACTTTCTGCCAAAAATGCACTTTCTCAAAAGTTTTTCAAAACTTATCACACATTGTAAAAGTGTATAGATGTTTGTACAGTTTATAGATGATTTATAAAACAAATAAATCTGTTTCTAGATAAGTGTAGTGCATGTTACATATTTTCTGTTAGAATGAGAATTCATCCACACAGATCTGTTTATCGACAGGCCTATAAATAAATGTCTACAAGTGTAAAGTTGGTTTTATTTTAATTTCCAGTTTCTCAGTGTCCAGTGTCATCCAATAATAATGTCATGAGTATAAGTGATATATAAAAAATTAAGTTGGATGTTATGAGTAGAGATGGTAGATTTTATCAATTGCTAAAAATGCAAAATGTCACCAAGTGTGGAAAAAATTGGTAATTGTATCTTTGACAGTGCAGAATATTTGCATTTTATACATTAAATTGCATATTATGGTTTCCTTCACATTCACACTCTAACTAGGGATGCAACATTGACAACAATACATGGATATTTGAAAACATTTCATTTCAGAGTGGCCATGTTTGTTTATATGTAAAATTTAACTGAAAACAAAAGTAAAAACTATTAAGAACTAGGAAAAAAAAAACTGATCCTGAAAGCCTGAGTACTCAAGAGGTCATCTCAAAAGGAGGGGGAGCAACTAGAGCAACTTGCCCCAGGCCTTGGCTTAATTGGGTCCCTGAACTTATTTCATTCAAAAGAAATAAATAAAGTATTCATTTCAAATCCTAATTTAACACAAAAAGTTATTTCTGATGTAAGGAAAAACTGATTCTGTTGTTTTTTTTGAGTTGGGGCAGGAAGGAATTTTTTGTTTGAAATGTGATCCCTGTAGATCAAATGTCACAGGCCCCTGGTTTTCACTGAATCCCTGGAGTGCCATTTTGGGTACCCAGTGACTAAGTAGCTTTTTTCAAGTTAGCTCCGTTTTCTTTATGTTAAGGATATTTCTCTGCAGTTCAATTATAATGATTAGAGAACGGAATTTATTGTAATTGAACGCAAAATATGTACGTACAGATGTTATTTTTTTCAAAACCATGTAAGAAAAAATACAAAATATGTAAAATAATTCGTGATACTGTTTAAAATTGCCCATTTGAGAATTTTCAAATTTTCGCGCACAAAATGTTGCCGATCAGACCTTTAAATGGATCCGAAGCGATTGAAAAACGTTCTACCTCTACAGAAGTAACTGGATACAGACTTCACCAAAGGATGCGAGTTTTAAAAGTTTAAAATACGTACGTAGAATATTCATTGTTTTGGAAAAGCACGTATACAGTCTATTTATTTATTTACGTCGAAAAAATTTAAATCTGGGTGGCGTGCTATAGTGAGAAGTTCATTTGAAGTTACATTTATATCCAAAAGCAAAACAAGGGGCCATCTCAGTATTTGCTCAAGGATCAGGGAAACTAGTCGAAAACCTGATCGAGATGGGGTCGTTGACTCAGAAGAAGTACAATACTTGTTACAGGTTCTTTAGAATTATGCAATCCAAATGGCAAATAATACATTAAATGTCATTGTTAAATTAATATTACATTCCTTTTGGATGCTCAAACATGTGCATGGTCAGCCACAGATTGGACGGGGCAATCAGGCGTCCATGCCCCCCCACCCCTCTCTCAATCCAACAGGGTTTACGTTGCCTCTGCAGGAACTGGGGGCTTTAGCATTCGAATCACAACGATAGAGCTTTTCTATATGAGTTCTATCGAATTCCACCAGTCTGGGCGAGAATACTAGCAGCAGCCTGCTCTGCTCTGATCAGTAGCTCCTACGAACACCGAGCGGGTGCCAAACTAGCAAACGGACGATACGACTTCTCGTCCTTGTTTCTCTCTTCCTTCGTACACACTTGCATTCACTACACCACACGTTGAAAAACGAGTCAGGTGGTTTCAGCTTGTCTCGGTTGGGGCTGTTCTCATTGGAGGAGAAATAAACCCGCAAGGCGTCCTGCTACAATGGTTAGTAGTAGGGCTTGGATAGTTTTCCATTAAAAAATGTAAAATGTGTTTGTAATTATGAGATTTAAAGCAGGTAGATATGCATGAACGACGCAGGAAATATATACTACACAAAACCTCATAAAATTATGAAATTATCATAAATTGTTATATTTATCACTGAAGATCTAAGTAACATATAGTCTAACAAAACAATGAAAATTTATAACAAAACGCACCCGAAATATGGACTAGCACTCTTGAAAGTCACTTATTTTTTTAAATTACAAAGTATAACAGTAATAATTTTAAGGTTTGAAAAAATAAACGATTCTCTATTGCTTTTAAAAATTGTAAAACTGGGAAAACGTTCACACCAAAACAGATGTTATTGGCGCATAATTTAAGTTTGCTATTTCTTTCCGTGTCAATGTTTCTTCAATATCTGACTCATGGTCTTGTCAATCTCATTATTATTATTATTATTATTATTATTATTATTATTATTATTATTATTATTACTCGTAAATGTAGTAACTACATCAATAAAGTAATTAATAATTACATTTTTTTGTACATTTTCCTGTGAAACTAGCAAAATATGTATCATTCTAACAATATGCTCTAAATATTATGCAATTATAAAGACTCTCTAACTACGTGAAAACATGCACTATAAAAATTGTTTTTTATTATGCATTAACCTTGTTCGGTGGACTTATTACAATATGCATATATTTAAATGTTACAGAAAAATATTATTTCATAACTATCCGAGCCCTAGTTATTAATCTCTGTCTAAAGCCTTCAGTTTGATAATTCTCCAATCTCTTACGTAATATGACGTCTTCCGATGCTCATTTCGTAAATATTTATTACATTACAGCTCTTTTCAGAGTAGCTCATTTTCATTTTAATTGTACCTTCCCTTTTGCGTTCCAAGAGACACCACAGGTTTCATTACAACAATTGCCGACGCAGGACAGACGAAACAGCGGCGTCACGATGGGCAAATTAAATGTTTTTAGTCAAGATTTTACAATGGTGTAAATACGTGCGTTTCGGCTTGGTCATTGACCAAGCAGTAAATTCTCCTTCCCGATTTCGACATGTAGACTTGACGCTTTTCCATCAAAACCTCCACTACTTGAAGACCATGGACATCCGCACCACAGCTTCGACACCTTCGGGTGTTGTCTTAGAGGACGCTCAATCCAGAAGAAGTTTACGCTATCCTGGCATTACCCATGTTATATTCGACCTGGACGGGACTTTACTCGGTAAGTTTGTTTCTGTAGCATTATTTTTGGAGGGTATTGATGAGTCACTTGTGTGCTATGCTGTTCATCTTTGAATGTAAAAAGGTATTTATATCACTTCCTGTCAATTCTTGTTCTGTCTTAACACATAAAACAAAATGGTAGTTTTATGAACTTTTCTATTCTTCGAACATGCTGATTTATACCTATTTGTTTGAATATTTATCTAGTGCATAGAGTGAGTACTCGCTATTTCTCAACCTTCTATTACAAGCTCGGTTGCTGGCGGAGTTAGAGAGAAATTGTCTATAAGATTATTCTACAACTAAAACAATCTCGCTAAATACCTATCGTATTTACCTTTAACACTTCTAGTGAAACATACCGAAGTAAGTCTCGCGTGAAGTCTGGCAGATCTGAGAATGACTTAACTCATTTTTTAATGTTTATAGAAATTTAGTTAAACATTTGGTCGCTAACACTAAAGCAGGTCGATTTGATTAATAAAAAAGGCTTATTACATTGTTCATGATTATGCCAGGCTTACCTCTTGCGAGAATAATTATTTGCCCAAGAGGTATACTGCTTAGAAGAACATTTCTGTAACTTTAAAACATTAAGTTTATGTAATACTTTTTTACATTCTTATAACGAACTATGTTTTACTTAAAAGTTGAGACATATCTACGTGTGACTACATATTAATCGTGCAACTTTTCATGAACGATGACCTTGCTTCCCCCTCTCTGGCTCAGAGCAGTTGAATGCAAAAGCTCGCAGCGAACATAGTTGACAACATTCCAAATACATCTTCACTGGCGCGAAACAGAAACTATTTTCTATTGAAGACGAGAACTTGTCCGTGATTTTCTCCAAGAAATCTAAAGAAATAACCGACGCAAGTGAAGATCCATTACAGGAGATACCTCGAATTCCTGAGAAAGTTGGAACGCAAATTATTGAGAAAATTGCGAAGGCATGATTGATTCTCCAGAGATAGGCATTGCGTCATAAAATCTGGTGGCCCATTCCGTAATTAACTCACCCTACCCGCATTTCTTAAATCCATCGTTGAAGAAACGTTGCGCGAGTAATTCATGTATACAAGGATATATAAGAGGTGCGAATACATGTAATATTTAAGAGAAAGCTTACGCGTCTCTTTCAACGGGATCTAGAATTATCGAAAAGGATAAATCATCCCTAACACTCTCTTCTACCCAAATCAAGCAAGATTAAAACCAAATAATATGAAATTTCTTTAGAAAAATGTTTTGATATGTGTCTCACAGATCCCACCAGCGCAGTGAAGGGATAAAGAATATCTGAGGTTTAAAGACCTTTAAAAGCTTCTGGAAAGCGGGTTTGGATATATATATATATATATATATATATATATATATATATATGTGTGTGTGTGTGTGTGTGTGTGTGTGTTTGAGAGAGAGAGAGAGAGAGAGAGAGAGAGGCAGACAGACAGACAGACAGACAGACAGTAAGAGAGGGCGACTGATCTATGCAGGAAATGGGGAGGTAATGAGAAATTATGCAAACAAGTATGAACATGAACAAAGGTAACTGAAGGTATGGTGAGTTCGTGAATGCGAATTGATGCAAGAAAACAAAACAATGAAAAAATAGTATGGTTACTACGTTATGAGTTCCTTCGCCTTTCCTTTTATCTCCTCTCCGTTCCAGACACTGAAACAGTGTATGAGGAGGTATACTCTCAAGTGTGCCGTCGCTTCGGCAAGCAATACTCGCTGGACGTAAGAATGCGGCATGTTGGCACTTCTGAAAAAGACACGGCGAGAATCATCACCACGATGCTCAATCTACCCATCAGCCAAGAAGAGTTTATCCAGCTTTCAAATGCGGAACTTCAGGGACGCATTACTCAGTGTGCTCTTATGCCGGGTAAAAATAATTGTGTCTGCAGTAAAGTTACGGTACAAAATTAGCTCTTTGAGGCTAAAAAGCGTTCTGGTAATGGGCGTTCTGATAATGTTCTGGTTCTGGTAAAGCGGGTTTAGTAATGGCAAGATAGATGTTATAACACTCATAACAACTAATATTTTTTACACCTAAACTTTTGGGTCCTTTTAAAGACGTTGGTGTTGCTGCAAGAGAAAAATAGTGAGTGTGATGTGATGATATTAATGCCTTATAACATTAAATAAAGAAAATAAAATAATTTATTTAAAGTCGAAAACAATAATAATTGAATGATAGGTCAGGGGGGGGGAGTTCATATTCAGAAGCAAAACAATGTAAGACAAAGCTAATGTTTATGAAGAAATTATATTAGTAAGATGTTACAACATTAAATTAAAATAATACTAAAATCCTGCAATTAAAAGATAATTTCAAATTCGCAGAGATTTGAGATTGGCCCGATCGAACGGGAAATATTCGTAATGGAGAAACTCCTGTGTACAGTTTACGTGCTAGTCATTTTCATAGATGGACGGACAGTAACAGCATAACATTCAATGGGGGATTTCGTCAAATTTAGTGATAATCATAGCTACGCGACTCCTTCGCTTTCATGAACTTTCATGTTGAAAATTATTTGTGTTATGCGAGGAGAAGTGGCTAAGAGCATCAACTGGTATCATTACATTGCCATTGGGATTGGGATGTCCTAGGTTAGGGTCCCGACGGTGGCAGGATTTTTCGACACTGGCTGAATAGCTAGGTCATGTTCTGTCTGAATTCTAGCGACTGGCTGCACTGATCGGTAGTTTTCCGTGGTTTCTCCAGCATCAACACCAGGCGAAGGCAGAAACAGGACTACCAAACGGACTACGGACAACGCGTGATCATTCCTTTCCATACCTTGTCCCACCCTCCCCTTTACTTACACTCACACTTATATGCAGTACACTACCACGCATGCCAGGAGACCGGTTTGGAGCTTAGAGCTTGCCCTGGCTGGGGTAGTGCCCCGTTGGTGAGAAATACCTGGATGGGGAAAACTCCCAGTAGCCGACGGTAAGTCGGCGCCAGGTTTCGCCATACAGCGGGGGAATATCACCGCCTCCTTCTGCTCAAAACATCCACTACAATAATGATCTTAGCAGTTGACGCGCCTGGAATCTTCAATCAATCGAAGCGTTCCGAATTACTACGCTTTATCTTTACTATGTAAGTACATAGTATGGCAAGAAAGTGGTGGTGCTAGAGAATGACACAGATTTTCTCGAACTTGGTATTCTAATCTATTTAGTGTAGGTTACCTTTTCAGTTTTTTCTCACTCTCTTCCCACTTGCCATCTATTGGCAACTAAAATACATGTTTCACATTTTCTCAATTTTAGAGATAATTAGTAGAAAATTTCGTAGGGAAAATGTAGATGTATTTTAGAAAAAGCGCAATTTTCAGCTTATTTTCTATTGAATTTTAAAGGAACTTAATTGGAAATTGTTTGAAGCACTAATACGTACAAATGCAATAATGTATGAGATATTCAAAAAGTATAAGTGTAATTTTTTAAGAAACAAAAACAAAGGAATACTGCAAAATTGCATTAATATCATCTTATTCAACGCATTTAGCACTATCCGCACACAACTTTTAAACAAAACATTGGAGCCATTTTTAAGAAAAGATTGTTTTTAATATATTTTAGTATTGCTCATATTTCACTCAAAATTACATGAAAACTACTAATATTTTCAAAAAATTCTAAATGGCATTAATTAAAGAACTAAATGTGGAGAATGAATTTCATTTTTAGAAAAATCAATATTGTAGGAAGACGCTGAAAAAAAACGTTTACAATTTTCGAAAATTCAGAGTTAACTGAAAAATTTAGACCAATGCCATCTTCTTCAGTGTGTTCCTCTACATTTTCGCAATAAATTTAAAGAAAAAATAATTTTAAAGAAAAAAACAACACTTTCTACACACACAGGACATCAGAGGACCCAAAACAAGCATATTCGTTGAAATCAAAATATTTTCTCCGCAGCATTACAACTTTCTTTGTTGCTCTGTATAGTATACGCACGTTAAAGAGAATGTTAACAATTTCCCACCAGTAGATCGATACGCGTCGAATAGCAATGGCCTAAGGGACAGGCAGTTTACCGCATAACTTACATCAGGGGCGGGCCCAGAGACAAATTTTGAGAGGGGAAATTAAAAATATTATTGTTGAATTTGTCATTACAGATTTTGTAAAATGTCGCAAGCTACACTCAGCTCATGCTGCGATTCGATTTTATTCGTTTTAATGATTATCCGAAAATAGGTTTGCTTGAAAGTTTCGTGACGAATTAAAGTTAATAGCTACAGAAAAAAATAGGAAGCGAAACGTGCCTCATTTCCCTCCCCGTGGATCCGCGCCCGCTCAAACCCGCATGAAAGCAGTAGTGCGAACTGCGTTTGTCGCTTCGCCCCGTGGCAGGAGTGGATCGCCTGCTGCGTCACTTCACCATGCACGAAGTGCCGATGGCCATGGCCACCTCCAACCCCTACCCGCACATGGACGCCAAGCTCACCAACTACCCGGAGGTGCGGTTGGCCTTCCACCACATCGTGTGCGGCGGCACCGACCCCGAGGTGAAGATGGGCAAGCCGGCGCCCGACATCTTCCTCGTGGCGGCCAGCCGCTTTCCCGGCAAACCGCAGCCGGCCCAGGTGCGTGCCGCCCGCGATGCGTGAACGGGGAAGAGTAGTCTTCTTACATGAGTGGAGCAGCACATACAACAAATCTTAAGTTCAATAAATAATGGAGAAAATATAATTCCCACATTGGAAAATGTGTGAACGCATGACACAAAGATCACTTTTGGCTTTCAGTTATTGGTATTAATCTGTTGCTTTTGTTCCTTCACGGGCAGCAATTCTGACAACAAAAAGAAAAATCTCGAAAAGTGAAGTTTGAGATAATTAACCACCGTTGGTTGAAGGGTGTGCTCAGTGCTCATTTTCAAATTTAGCTAGCCATTATTTGGCGTCAACTCTTCTCACGGTCTATGGTGAATTCTAGATATTATTCGAAATAACAATGAAAGGAACCCGTCTTTACGACTGGCGCTAACATAGAGCGAGTGTCTTGAATTTGACAGATTGCGGAAGAAGTTACCTTCTACTTACGACATAAATGTTAAACAATCAATAAAGCATGCCCGATCATTAACAAATCTGCACCAACAAATTTGAATTCTTTGTACTTCATTCACATCTAAGACACATTAAATTGACTCAGCAAATTGTGTTCCTTAAATAATTAACACTTGGATGAACACTGAAGCATTTCATATCTATTAATATTTAAATGAATTGTAAAATAGTTTTATATAGTTTATTTCTAGAAAATTATTATTTTCTATTGACAGGAATCGATAATAGTCTGACCTGAAATTGAAAGAAACTCCATTTAAAGGCTGAACACTGATTCTCCTTTAAGTAAATTATTGAATTTATTATGTTTATGCGCTTTTAAACTTCTGCGTATTTTTGGAAAATTAACTTCTTACATAAGACGCCATTTTAAATTAGATGGTATACAGTTTCATGAAAGGAATGTATCCGGCTTACTTCTTCCCGTTTTGCTAACTAACTCATCACTTTCTTCCATTGTCTTGTATCAAATCTGTCTGCTTAAATATCTCCTCTCCTCATAGTTTTTCATGACTGCATTTCATGGGAAGAAAGTACTTCAAACGCTCTACAAAATATAAACAATTTCAACCTTTCAAATATGTCTCTTAAAATTAGTATTATTAAATGAATAGTAGAAATGAATACTTTCAAAGAATCCACTGCCACCGACTTGAGAAGAAAGATTGTAATGTTTATAGGATGAATACATGTTTACAACTATAATTATTATTAATTATTCGCATTGAAATGTAATTAAAATTCAAAAGTTATTATATTCAATAATATATTCAACAATGATTCGAAACATTTCATCTGGCAGACAGGAGGCAGGTTTCAGAAGTCAACAAAATTATATCACAAAACGGACATTGTCTTTGAAGACTAATGTACTGCTGCACTCGCATGCTGCAAATATTGCCTATTACGAATCTTGTCTTCCTTGCAATTACGTCAAGTGAAGCAACGCGTTGTGCAGGTTCTTGTATTCGAAGACTCTGTGGCTGGCGTGAAGGGAGCCATAGCTGCCGGAATGCACGTGGTGGCCGTTCCGGACAGGACGGTTCCTCACGACACCCTGAGCGGCGCCACCATCATTTTGGACTCGCTCGCCCACTTCCACCCGGAGCTCTTTGGATTCCCGCCGTTCTAGACTTCCCCCTGGTACGTGTTGCGACTTTAAGTATTTTCTCTCCTTCTCATGTCCGCGTATGACTTGAATTGCACTCAGCGCGTAAGCCCGCGAATTCGCCGGGACACCGCACCACGGAACGAACAGGGAACGCCACGGGGAAGGGATGGGGGTGAGAACCAAAAAAGAAAGATAACAAATGTACCTCTGTGGAGCACAAAAGGTATTCCAAAGAGAAAATGACGTTTCAGATACGTGTGATACCGAGTATTCAAAGGAGGTGTTTCGGTGATCGTCTCCCGTTGGATCGTTCGATATTCCCTGCTGAGAAATTTTGAATTTGTCCCCCTCCAGGGGACAACCGAAGACCTAATTTCTGAAGTGATACATTCTACAATAAATACAGAATTTTCAGAAATGGAAAGTATTAATATTCAGCCTTACAGTTCAATATAGGATTCAACAGTTTTTAAATACCGTATAACATAGAAGAAACGCCGTTTTAGTCCAATATTTGGTAGCACGATGTAGAAGCGTCTTAAAAGTATATTGAAACGTTAAACTAGAAAAAAAGGGAAATGATGATACGTCGGTTTGGAAATAAGCTCCTCAAGTAATCTATTCCCGGTTGCCTTATGCTTTCTCTCTTTGAATGGTTCAAGTCAAGAAATTCTAAAAATGAAACTTTCTACAAGAACATTCTTGTACAATTAACTCAATTAACTCGTTGCTAGGGCGATTTCTTCGTTTTAGTCATCATTTAGGCGATTGGTCATTCGGCCTTTCAAGAGTTTCGAAAGTGAGCCTTCGGACAAACTATCCCATTGGTTGTAACACCTCTCGTAAGGCTTAAAATTGTCCGTAATAAACGGTGATTTGGTGATGTAGGAAGTCGCCTTCATCACGAGACTAGGGTTTTCGTGGGTGTGATGTTGCGCTTGTCCTGGAGCTTTCACACACAAATCTGCTTGTTATCTCCGCCGAGTCAGAATTGCTTCTGAACACTGCATGCGCACTTGGAGTTGTGCAAGATACCCCGACACGACGTCAACCCAGTTTTTGCAACGATGGTGTTAAAGAGAGTATGACTTCTTCTCGCTGTCGGAGTGAATGTAAATCTTTCGTCACGCTGTCATCTGATAACGATGCGACACACGATGCAAAACTGGGTGTTTGTTCATTTTAAACCTGCCGGATTCTCTTATCTACTTGCTCCGTGCTCTATTCAGACCTCCCAGAACCTCCATTGGACGGCGAGTCATTTCGTGAACTCCTTGGTTCCAACTTCGGGCTACGATGACATCCACGAAATTCATCTCCAGCGGGATGCTTCGAAATGACCAATCACCTTCCACTACCCCTGCCACGGATTTCTACACTTAGTCCGCAAATTAATGACCACTCCCCATGGCGATTAATAAATGGATGAGAGTGAAATAGATTCTAATAACACAGATCTGCGATGAATAAAACTTGTTTTTGAAAGTTTCAACTGTTCTATAAGTATTTGTGTCTGCTAAAACACAAAATTAAATTGGAAATGTTTCATCACACATAGCTTCCCGCAAATTGATATTTCATCTTCTGAAGGACACTAGCAGCTCTCTTAATTTTCGATTCTCCTGTTCAACTTTCAGCCCCAATCAGTGTTATATACAGTTTGTACGTAATGAATTTCATTCAATGTATTTATCAAACCCATTATATTTTTATTTTAACATTTCATCTGTAGTTACAAATGTAAATACATTCTCACTTTACCCCTTGGTACCAATATTTTGAGAACTCAATTTTCGCACCTTATCGATTTCTATTATACTTAAGTTAAAACAGGAGATGTGGTGTTCATACGACCATACGGCCAAAGAATCATTCTCAAGATGGATGTAAACTTGCTTACTTAAAATCTTAACTCTCTTTGTGAAAATTGGCATTATAAAAAGCAACTAGCTCCTCCCATACAGTTGAATCTAGTCATTGCGCTACAGCTGTTTTAAAAATAAAATTTGATTGGTGACGTTTCTCTAAAGATCCAATTCATTATCTTTTGAATTATATGGGAGTTTAGCCAAGTTCTTACACAAATGTTGCGCAACAAATCCCAGAGCACCGATAACTATCGAGACAACCTGTGCTTTTGAGCCCCACATTCAGTTGATTTGAATTTCCAAACTCTTGTATTTACGACATTATTATTATTATTATTATTATTATTATTATTATTATTATTATTATTATTATTATTGCTTATTTGTAAATTCAGGTAAAAATATTTTTCGAAGTTTTCATTTCAGTTTCTCTTTCGTGTTGGTATATGATTTGTATTGTTACATTAAGAATACACGATGATAAACTCTGCAAAATAGCTTTCCGAAATGTTCCAAAGTTTAATAGAAAAACCAATAATGTATTTCTGTTAAAATTCAATTTTGAATTAAATTGACAATATTTTCTGTAGTAACCCTTGCAACTCGCTTCCCTTATGAGGAAGGGGGCCGGTGCGGCGCTGACCGTTCCGGTGAGAGGGGGGCTGAGGGTGTCACCCATGGGTGACAGTTAGGGATACGACCGCAACTACAGAAATCGTTGGTTTTGGTAAGGAGACATGGACATCAATATTAACGATCAGAATGCGATATTTGCCCATAGATTCATCAGAATTGAAATTTTCTTCGACTGATTGAAATTGCAAAGCATTTGCGAAAGTCATTCATAAACGAAAACATTAATTTTAATTATTGAAAAATAGCTACTCAATAATTTGATGGCTACAACAAAACAGCGCTGTTACTAAGTAAAACGTTCAAAATGTTCAAATTTTTATCCCTAGTCAGTAAGGCAATCCTTATATTTAGGTATAGTAACCATAGGCTTATGTAACCATCAGTTTGTCATCAACGTAAATTTTATAATGTATCCACAGGTCGTTTTTATCCCCTATTTAACATTTTCACGGAAATAAATTGTTGTTTTTTTTAAGTGAAGCTATTCCTTCGGACGGCTTCCCAGGCCGAGGTAGCTAGAGCATTTGCCGACTCAGCGCATCGGCCGCGGTATCGAGTCCCGCCGTGTGCATGGTTGTTGGTCCCTTGGCTTTCATGTATGTGTGTTGTCGCAGAAGGCCTTGTGAGTCTAGTCTGCTGAGCACAGGCCGAGGAGCCCGGAAGTGTGTCTAGTGTAAAATGTTAACGTGTGTTCCCAGGAGGGAGATAGTGGTACCCGGGGCGAGTAGTCGAAATCGTCATTCCCTGAAGGTGGAAAAAGTCCCAGAAAGAAAAAAAGACCGATGAACGTATTCCTCTCAAAATTTTCAAGGTGCCCGCGGCCCCTTGTGCGCACGCCTGTGCATGTCGTCACCTCCCTCGCCGGCTCTGCTCGCGAGCAGACACGGAAGCCCTGGCCGCGGAGGCGTCCGCCCCCGCGGTGCGGCGCTTCGCGAAGGAGATGACGATGGCTGCGGCGGCTGGGCGCCAGCGAGCTGGAGGGCGTCGAGGCGGTCATCCGCCTGCAGCGCGGAGCGGATAGCGCGCCACCGCCTCCCGCACTGCCAGCTCGTGCCAGGTCAGGCTTCTCATTCCATTTGCGGCAAGGAGAAGTGGCGAATAGAGAATTACAATCTACGCGCTTTTCTTCAGCTCCAGAATATCTTCCCAACCCTTTAGCCATATACAGTTCAATACCTAATAAAAGTACCAAAAAAACAAGGTCAGCAACATTTGAAAACTAGTCATTTTCGCTCCCGAATCGTAAAAAAAAAAATAAGTGCTTTGGTAAACGAATTACTTATTTTATTTTCTATCTAATATATAAAAGAAAATGTATGTTTTTGGTTATTGCTTAATGCGCTGCCGTGCCGTTCAAATTATTACGATAAAACAATGTCAACTAATTGCTTGCATTTCCGGGAAGAAAATAGACATAGTACGATCTGAATGTACATCTGCCTGCGCACATAGACGCACGTTGATGAAAATTTTAAGTAAACACAAGAGCCCCGATCAGGGCTCTTTACGTCAGGGCGCTCTCTACGCAGCCCGCCACACACTAAAGTACGATTATTAAGACTTCTTCATTGCTTACTTTGCCACTGCGATTGAGAAATTTCTTCCGGGAGACAGATACAGAGAAAAACAGAGGAAGGCAGAGGCGCAGAGAGAGAAAAACAAACAGAGTCAGAGAGAAAGAGGGAGACAGAGACGGAACCACCTCGCGAGAGAGATTCGTCTATTGTAATTCTTAGAGAGAGTAGCGTAAAACGTGATTATCATCACGTGACCAGTAGCACGCAAAGTGTAATACATTGCAATAGTGAAGCGTTGCCGGGTTCACTAGTTGCAAATAAAATAGTAACCAATATCGTCTCCTTCTACCACAGCTAGCAAAACGATAGCTCAACAAAATGCGCACAGAGTAGTTTTATATCCAGAAGCAAAATAAGGGGCCATCTCAGCATTCAATTAATGTATCTGGGATGAAAACCTGGGTGAGATGGAGGTCATTGATCCAGAAGCTGTAGTACATTACTTGTTACAGGCTTTTTAAGTCTTTAAAATTATTCAACACAGATGTATGCATCTGTGCACAATGCATCACATATCATTATAAAAATAAGTATTATTTTTTTTCTTTTTGATGGTCATTATAGTCTCTAATTGTACAGAAACAGTTATGCAACAGAAAAGATGTTCGTGTCTTTGTTGCTGCCGGTAATTTATTAAAAGTAGGTAAGAAAATACAATCAACCATTCCCATATATAGTTGACATTGGTAACAAAAGCTTACAACTACAGTAGTTGTGGTTGGAAATCATTTTTATTACACCTGTTTGTCTATTTGAAATATCTGAGGGATCGAAATAATACTGCGGTTGGTTTTCGTGGCATCATTTTCGTTCTCCATCATATTCTTATTTACCTTTGAAGTAAGTCTCGAGGAATTACTGCAATTTCTCTTCAATAGAGTTCCCGAGCTTTCTCCGACTGAGGGTTTTCTGTATACACCTGATCTTTCAAGTCCCCAAA